CATACATATATATATACATCGGCGTAGGGTCATTTAAAATCTAGGGGGGCTGCAAATTTTCTGCCCGAGTGAAAGAGGAAGAGAAATTTGACCTGCCAGAAAATTTGTGGTGAATGCCACCAGTGGCGTAGATAGAGGGGTTCGGGGAGGGGACCCACCTATAAGGCTAAACTGCCATTTTGTCGGAAAATTTCTGCACTTGTCGGAAAAATAACGATGGTTTTCTGTTTCATTTAGTTCTAGTGGCCCTATGTTATGTTCAAAATAATAAAAAATGAGAGTGTGTAAATTTTTTGTCGGGATATCTTCATTTCTCGCCCCCTCTATTAATTTTCCTATCTACGCCCCTGCCCAAAATTGCCCGAATTCAACCAGCAATTACCCGACTGGGGGGGCTGTAGCCCCCCCAGCCCCCTGGCTCCTACGCCTATATATATATATATATATATATATATATATATATATATATATATATATATATATATATGTGTGTGTGTGTGTGTGTGTGTATATATATATGTATATATATATATATATATATATATATATATATATATATATATATATATATATATATATATATATATAGAGAGAGAGAGAGAGAGAGAGAGAGAGAGAGATTATTCTTTATTTTTCTCCCTTTATTTTTCATTCATACACTGTATATGTAAGTAAGTAGGTACGCATATATATGTATATGGGTTTACACATAATTGTATTATAGTGGGTCCAATAAACTATTGAAGAAAACACTGTATTGAAGAAGGTAGACGTTTATGTAGTCTTGGCGAATCAAAAATTTTCTTCCTGGAGTTAGATTTACTATAGTTTACCTTTGACTACCATTTTCTATCATATTTTCTTTAAAGAAAGTGTAATTTAAGGGCTAACTCTATTGATATTTTCTTAAACGTTAATGGGATTCCTTTTTCAGATAATATCGCGGTGACAACTAACAACAACAGGTAATGAAGCAGAGATAAAAGATTTCATGATTCCATTGTGTTTAAAAGTAATAGAATAGATATATTTGGTCACTGATTCAATAATAATGTTATGCATTTCCGGCTTTTATCATTTATAAAGGCCAGGTTATTTAATTTTTTGCTGGGTGACAGATAAGACATATTATTCCACTTGCAGTAGATAACAGATATAAAAAGATTTACACTGGAAGACAAATCCCCCATCGCAACAAAATAAAACAAAATAAAAGCATAAAGTGATATGAATATCCAAATCACACGAAACAAGAGAGAGATAACACGACACATAAATTTATTCCTCGTCTGCTTTTTAAAAGAGACCACGGCAACTTCTCCACTTGCCAAAAAACAAAAACAAAACAAAAACAAAAACAAAAACACATTCGCGTTTCACTGAAGGCTTCGGCCGAGGCTTCAGGAGGCAGGACGGGCGACTGTCAAGTAAGAAACTTATCTATGGTCTTCAGGATAAAGCTTTTATTGACCTCTCTCTTTTTTTTTTTTTTCCTCCTCCCGTGACTAAAGTACCTGGCTTGATGACCCTCTCTAACCTCTGTGATAAGGCGTGAAGGAAAGAAGGAAAGAAGGAAATATGACTGGGTGTTCTTGGAGAGTTTGTGTCTTGGTGGATGTTTTCCTTCGCAACTTTTTTTTCCTTCTTCCTTTTCCTTTTCCCTTCTTCATTCTGTGTTGATTTTTAGTGACGTTTGATTTCAGAATAAGAGCGACGGATGCTGTACGTGTAAATTGTCCAGTTTTATCCGTCCACTTCTTCTATTAGAGTTACGGGAAAGGGGTAGAGAAAGTCCAGCGAAATGGGAATGAGTTGTAGGGAAATATGTTGTATAAGGTAGTGGCAGAGTTGGGTAATAAAACCTACATGAAATGCTAGAACAATACAAGCCAAGATAAAGTTCTTCTATGGCAATATGTGTGCAAATGCTTCCCAAGGCTGCTATACGTAAAAGAAAAGAGAAGTTGCTCATCTTGTTTACATTACGAGGGTGAATTCTAGGCACATACACTACCATGGGGGCCCAGGGGGCATAACCCTCTGGCTATGCGTATATATTACTACGGTGGTCCAGGGGTATAGCCACCTGGCTAGGCATATATATTACCAGGGGGGCCCAGGGGGCAGAGCCCCTTAGCTAGGGAATATATACCACGGTGTTAGGTTAGGTTGGATGTTGGGTTAGGATGTTTTGTTTAACAACCACGGGGGTCCTGTTTTACCCCATAATTTCCCTGATATACTTCATGCCCTCCCCTGCTATCGGGACTATCAAATCAATATTTCGATGGAAATGGTAATCCTATCTCCTCAACAATTCATTTGCACAAGGAACAATGCCTAGAATCATTGAAAGCAGTGGATTTCATGCAGAAAAATATCAAAATCGTTTCGAAAGTAACCCACTACCCTCTTCTACATATTGACCAGGGGATCTTCTTTTTTTTACATATAGCAGCCTTGGGAAGCATTTGCACACATATTGCCATAGAAGAACTTTGTCTTAGTTTATATTGTTCTATCATTTCATTTCATATCATTACCCAATTATCATTTCATATCATTACCCACTTCTGCCACTACACTACATATTGACCGGTGAAAATAGTGAAATATTCTCTAATCACAAAAACCATAAACCACAAAAATGTTTAAAAAGACAAATGCAAAGCACCCTTATGATTGCCACTAAGCCCTATTCTCTCTCTCTCTCTCTCTCTCTCTCTCTCTCTCTCTCTCTCTCTCTCTCTCTCTCTCTCTCTCTCTCTCTCTCTCCCTCCCTCTCTCTCTCTCTCTCTCTCTCTCTCTCTCTCTCTCTCTCTCTCTCTCTCTCTCTCTCTCTCTCTCTCTCTCTCTCTCTCTCTCTCTCCCTCTCCCTCTCCCTCTCCCTCTCCCTCTCCCTCTCTCTCTCTCTCTTTCTCTCTCTCTCTCTCTCTCTCTCTCTCTCTTTTTTTTTTACCTGTCAGATTATTTATTGTAATAGTGTGTGTAGTTTTTCTCTTTGATTATTATAGTGCCATTACATTTCCCTGTAAATGTATATCAGACTATTATGTGTTTCACAATGTTCTTATTATTAACTTGCAAAGGTAGTAACATAGATGAAATGTATCTTCTTTTTAGTCATCCTGTCCATTACAGGCAAACTTTACCTTGTACTCCATGGCTGTGGGAAACTCAAATTATACAGAAATGACTTGTAGAGATGAATGTTAATGCCACAAATAAAGGAAAATAATTTCAAAAATTGCTCACAGCTCAGTGCTCCTGAGTTTCAGCTCTATCGTGTCATATATACTGCATCCATACAGTAAAGATTTACATAGCACCAAAGAAGGAACCAGTCTGAACACCATCCTGCCAAAAAACATAAGTGGTGGAATTTTGTTTTCTGTTCTTGGAGCACAAGTGTAGTGCTATCACAGCAGTGTGCTGCTGCACCACTATCAAATTTTACTTCAAAACAATGCAGATCATAGAAAGTTTTATGTGGATTTAGGTGGAATATTGCCTAAAGGTAATGTTCAAGATAGTGTAGTGAATGACACAAGTTAAAAATAGGGCATTGCAATAAAAGAGAAAATTAAAGGTAAGGGCCATGAAGTACACACAAAACAGTGGTATTAAAATTATGAAAAATGTTCTACAGAAAGTAAAAAAAAGGCCATAACGTCTAATCAGTCTTCAAACCAAGAAAGAGCTTCCGATAAGAAGCCAATTCAAATACTATAATGGTTTGCTAGTAATATTGAAATATCCTTGTTTTGTATTTCTTATTTCTAACGTTATATATTGATAAGTTCTTGAGTTGATAATAACTGTCTTTATTGATGTTATTTTATTTTTTCATGACATTAGGTTTAAAATTTAAATTTTGCTGTTTGAATGATATCAGGATTCATATGACATTTTATGAAACCAAAATATTTGGAATGTTTATAGTTTTGATTGGAATAACAATAAGAAAATTGTTGATCTTATGGAACATTTTCAGACTATCACACCGTTTCAATGGATTTTGAGAGCGATCTTTCACAGTCTACAGAGTACAAAAGTTTCCGCAGCACTGTTCCTCTGAAACAGGTTGTTGTTGATAATGATGGCTTGAAGGTAAGTGTTCCAAAGTTTTATGCAGTTTATTGTAATTTATTTTCATTATTTTTGTTATTATTAGCATTAGTACAAAATTATTAATGTTGTGGTTGTTATTGTTATTGTGAATCCATCATTGTCATCGCCCTCGCCATCACCATCACCATCATCGTCACCGTCATCATTATTGTCATCGTCATCATTATCATCATCGTCATTGCCATCGCCATCGCCATCGCCATCGCCATCGCCATCGCCATCGCCATCGCCATCGCCATCGCCATCGCCATCGTCATCGTCATCGTCATCGTCATCGTCATCGTCATCATCATCATCATCATCATCATCATCATCATCATCATCACCATCATGTTTTATTATTACTATTGTTGCCTTTGTCATTACCCCTTAATATAGCAACCTAGAATCAGTGAGATACATTGTTACCCAATACAATGTGGCTTGAAAAGCACTATATTTTGCAATTAATTGCAGGTTTGGAAATTATACGATGCAGGACCTAGAGGGGTTCGATGCCCCCTCATATGCCTCCCTCCAGTCAGTGGAACAGCAGACTGCTTCTACAAGCAGATCCTGCCCCTCACAGCAAGAGGATACAGAATCATCTCAGTAAGCCAGATATCTGTATATAGATGTACAATTATTTATATATGAATAAAGAGTGGGTATTGTTACATTGATACATGACAATAATTGTCTCCCAGAGATTAGCTAATCTATATAGTTGATTGAACCACTTACCACAAGTAGAGAAACTAACCAGTAACACTGTAATACACCAAATTCTATTTTTGTTTTAGATTGAGTACCCTATATATTGGACAGTCAATGAATGGTGTGAGGGCTTCAAGCGATTGCTTGATCTTCTTGAAGTGGATCGTGCACATTTGCTAGGGGTAAGCATTATGGGTTTGTTTTTGCAGATGTGAATAATAATTGTAATAATAGAAGTTGACAATGATGATGATTTATAGTTTAAGGTTAACTGTCTGTTAAACTGATGGGCTAAAATTACAATTTTGGCTCTATTAAGATATAGATTTTAGATATGTTTTACCCTTCAACTAACTTCATAAGCTTATTAATGAAAATACCTACCTAAAATACTTACATTGTTCCCTTATATTATCATCATAATTGTTTTTAATGTTTTTCATTTTTCATAAATAGGCTTCGCTAGGGGGGTTCCTGGCACAAAAATTTACAGAACACACAGCAAATTGCCCTCGAGTGGCATCATTGCTCCTCTGCAATTCCTTCATTGACACCAAGATCTTCAACTATACTGACTCAGCCCCTGTGTATGTTTTATTGTTTTGGCATGTAGCAAATAAGTAGAGGAATGATATACATACATATAGGTAGATAGATAGATTGATAGTTATATTTATTTATAGTTATATATTTAACATATATATATATATATATATATATATATATATATATATATATATATATATATATATATATATATATATATATATATATATATATATATATATATAATTATTGTTTTTTTTTTTACTCCTTTATTTATTTATTCTTAGACATTTCATAATAGAAGCACACTGTTTTGCACTAGAAAAGAAGATTGGATTAAAAATAATTATGAGAAGAAGAAAATGCAGTAACATTATTTGTGATGTAGAAGCTAGTGCTGTTATCGATTATATCTTTTTAACTTGTATGTCTGATGTGTTTCATATGAAGTTTATATGTGGTGCCAGTCTGTGGCATATTCCTGAATTGTTAAATAAATTTTCTTTGCTTGATATAAAGTATAAAGTTGTTGAGTATTGAGTATTATTCATTCAAAAAGGGCTTGCCCATTAAAATATTAATTTGAAGACAGACATGCAAGCATTTGATTAAACATTGTATAAAAGTGTTTGTCTACCTATTCCTATTACTGGTAGAGGTATTAAATGAAATTGAATCGTGTAAAGTTGAAACTCTGAACTTGTATCTTTTTTAATTATTAGCAGTATTTCATGAGTCTAATCTCACAGGTTCTGGATGCTGCCAGCTACGTTGCTCAAGAAGATGATCATAGGACGTTTTCCAAGGAAACTGATGGACTCCCAGATAGCTGATTCTATAGACTTCATGGTTGAGAGAGTAAGTTTGGATTAGTCTCACTTTCTGTTGGTAAAACTTTTAAGTTCGATTGGGTAAATCATTCTTTTTGATATAATTTCCTGACTATTCTAAGTGTTTTTTTTAACTATTTCAGCTAGAGAGTCTGAACCAGAGTGAGTTGGCATCCAGACTTACCCTCAACTGCTCTCCAGCCTATATTCAGCCACAGAAGGTTCAGGTCAGTCTCTGGATTAGAGAAATAACTTTTTTGTATACTGCTAGTGTTGTGTAGTTTGCTATTTTAGTTTATTGACAACTTGAATGTACTGTCATTATCTGGTGAATGAGTAGATGCATTTTATACATACTTTGCTTTGCTTTTCCTCAGATTCAGGTACCTGAGGTTCTTTTATTAATGCAAATATCTAGACTGTATGTAGCTACCAAATCCAGCACGATTGTTATGCGATAAAAGAGATAATATTGGGTTGGGCAGAAATGGTGATCTTTGTCTATAATTTGTCCATTAGTACTCAATAAATGGAGAGTCTGTAAAGTTGATATTTAAGATATTTGTGTAAATATGCTTTGTTGTTGTTAATAATGATTACCATCATTCATCACATTCTCAAAGGAAATACAGCATATGTTATATATGCTTATATTTTGAGCTTACTTTGAAATAATAATTTGTTCATTCATCTTTTTTAATTATGCATAATGAAAATTGTTTATATTTGTCATTCATAGTTAATATTATTTAACAGTTTCAAATATTATTGGTACAATTAATTAGCTTACATCTGTATTGCAATCATTTATTCATTTGCTTTATATGTGTATTATGGTATATTTGCCTCAAAACCAGCAAAGTGAATTTTAAAGTGACCAAGGAATTAGCCTCTTCACCGATGTGATTACCCCATAAACTTGTTTCCTCATTTCTGATAATGTTACTCTGGACTGTCTTTATAATAACTGTTTCTGATAGCTTTTGGGTTTTACATTTAGACAACAATAGGAGACTTGTCATTATCTATGCTTTCTCATGTTAGCAATTTTAAGCAGCAGCATCCCCCAGAGACTAGGGGTGTCTGTACAGTGCTGAGGGCCATCTGGTTGCAGTCAGAATAGAAGTAGAAGTTTATTGCCGAGAGAGTTCATCATTAGTCTTAGGGCAGCTTGGTTCTGAAGGGCTTTAGAAGGACTTATGGTGTTGCTTTGGCTAGCAGCTTTAGGTCACGTTGTTGCTATCTTCTGCTTTTCAGAAGTGAGATGGTCTGTCAGGCTCTCCGTAGGTACATTTACTTTGTGTGCTAAGGAGAACTTGTGCTTTGGCTCATTCTTTTCTCCTGGAGATGCACGGATTCTATAGCTTGAACACCCAGCTTTCTCATGCTTCACCAGCTTATTAGGACTCTACTTATGTGGTATGTAAGATCGTTTCTGTCTTTTTTGCAAGGAATTTTTTATGATGGTCTAATGAATTAGTCAAGAATTTTCATTGGTATTTCTTTTATCAATATGTAGTTTTCATTTGAATTAGAAGTTTTGATTTGTGTTATTAATATTATTTATTTATTTAATTTTTTTTACTTAACCCATTGCTGCTGGGGAAAATGAATAAAAAATAGGGGAAAATGCTGTGCTCATTTTTTATATTTTTTGTGAAATGTCTCTACACATTGATGGCTCTGCCTTAACTGATTTCACCTTTCTTTGAATTGGCAGGAAAATGTATTTTTTACTAGTGTTATGAATATCAATGGTTTTATTTTTATTATAAACATTATAATTACTATAATGTTATAAACATTAATAATAGCAAAATAAGAAAACGTAAAATATTTTTGAAAATTAAGTAAGTAAACTCACCATGGGTATGGCATGGCATTCCCGTCGGCAATGGGTTAAATTTACTTTTAGAAATGGCACTGACTAGGAAAATCTGTATGCATATTGTCTTCTCCTTTAGTCTATATGATTGTTCTGGATCATAGCACAAATGTTTTTATGTTGATCAGATGTCTGTCTGTCGCATGATACCTTTGTCAATATTAGAGTTAACACTTGCATATAGCCAACAAGTATTTGGGGAATTGACAGCACTGTGGAGATACTAAAGATTGAAGCAGAACAACTTGCACTTAGCCATGTCATTCTTCTCACACAGGTGGAAGTAACGATACTGGATGTCTTTGATGAATCTGCCTTGTCACAAACTGTTAAAGAGGAGGTTTACAAGTGTTATCCCTCAGCACGTCTAGCACACTTGAAGACTGGTGGAAACTTTCCTTTTTTAGCCAGAGCAGATGAAGTTAATATATATATTCAGGTGAGATTTTCGATTTGATGTATTGGTTTGAAATATTAATATGTACATTTCAGGACAGTTGTGTCTTATTTTTATTTTTAATCTCAAATTAGGGAACTAAGGAGGGTTTAAAGAATAAACATATTTTTGTAGAATGTAATTTGCTTTGTTCAAATATGCACATGTGATACTTTTTAAAATTTCAGCATAAAAATAAATCGTGTTTTAGTCATTGGTAAGAAGAAAGCTATGATAAATCTTTATTCAATGGTATTTACTATTTTGCTTTTTGTATTTTCAGGTTCACCTTCGAGCCTATGAAGGAACTGACAAAAGTGCAACTGATTCAGGCACTCCAGTGGAACGATAAAATGATCAACAAAAGATATATGACAAATTCTATAGGAAACCACTAGTGACAAAAGTACAAGACATATCAGATATATCAGTTTCCTATGTATTGGATGTCACTTTTATTATAGTTAATAGTAAGAACAAATTTCCTAGGATTTTCTATTGCTATATGTGTAAAGCTGTATTGTTATGCGAGTTTTGATATTCGTAGTCTTTGTAAACATTTCATAGTGATGTGTTCATTCCATAGGAGAAATAGGGAATGTTGATTTTCTTATTGGAACTAGGATAAAGAGTAGAGATATTTTTTCACCTTGGATCGGGTATGGGATGTGTTAACTGTAGACAAACATTTTTTAAATTCTACTTTTGTTAAGGAATGCTTTAAAACTATGGGTCAAGCATTTTGTTGGAGTGCTAACTGTATCATTTATCTGACAGGAATGGACAACTGGACACAGAAAATAAAGTTATGCTTGATGGCAAATGTTTCTGTAGGGATTGTTTTGTAAGAAAACTCAAAGTAGTTTTGAGGTTACTTTTAAGTAAGTCATGATGAATCTTATGTCATGATATCCACTTTGGAAGTTAGTGTTTGAAGTCAGCTTTATGTTCTTAATGAAGGGCTGTGACACCAATATATGCAAATATGCCCCAGGGTTTTGGTTAGGAGCTGACATCTGTTACTAATCTGCTAGTTGTGGGAAATATATTGATATTGAAAGGTTTAGGTTTAATAGAGAATAATGACAGCATTGTAAAGTGTTTTCTGGTGTTTACATGTATCAAACGCAAAAGTTTCTAACATGGGGCTCAATATATCGAAATAGCAGTGCATCATTCTGTAACAGAGAGGAGAGGATGTGCAATATATTAATGGTTAGATTATTTTTTGTATTGATCTTAGGGTGATAAAAGTATGAATATTCAGCAGTAATTCTGCAATATGTAATCCTGTTCCTACTGTTTGCTTAATATATTTTGTTGCTTTTATTGTAAATATTAATCTTTTGAGTATATATTTGTATTTCCAGTGCAAAGGATAGTGCTGGTGAGGTTTTGGTGGTTTATATAACAATATCTTTGTATTTTCCTTTATATTTTTGTTTCAGTTTCAGAACTTTAAAGTTATTTGGATCTTTTTATGTATTATTATCCGTAATTGTGATCATCTTGAATAATGAATTAACGAGTAATGAAAAAAAGAAATCCAAAAAGAGAGAAAAATGATTGAGACTAGATGGTACAAGAAAATTAAAGTAAAAACAAATTCTGATACTCCAAACCAAAGCATCAAAGACCATATAGCAAAGACAAATGACAATATTATAAGATGTACTGAAGAAAATCTAAAGAAATTAAACAATTACTTTATTAGAAATACAAGAAAGTTAGAGTATTTTATGTTTACTTAGAGAAAAAGCAGAGTAGAGAGAACATACCTGAATAGATAATCAGATTTTAAAAATTACTAACTACAGTATTTGCAGTATAGTGTGACAGTCATCAGATTTGTAGATATTTCAATAACATTTAGATAATCCTATAGGATGGGAAGCTTAGGAGATGGAGACTGGGGCCCAGTGTAGGGGATCACCCCTACCTTAGACCTCAGCCCTCGCCTCAACTAATTTTGCAGTCTTTTCTTCTCCCCTTTTCCTTTCCTTTTCTTCTTCATCATCACCTTCTGTCCACTTCCTAGGGTGTGAGAGTCGTGCCAAAAGGATGAAAGGCTGTCTTTGTGTCAGTCATGAATGGCCTCCAGGAGCCATGGGCATGGTATTCTTTTGGTTAATTGTTTTTCCCTTACCATTCATGGGGACCCTGAGGCATAGACTGTTTCCTCTCCCCATTTCTTTCAGGTTCACCATGGCCAATAATGAAGATGTTTTATCCTTTTTAGAGGCATTAAGGCTTGCCCCATCATCAAGTAGCCTATCTAAATTTGATTTCATTGGTTTCCTGGCCCCTGCCTATCCTTCGACCACGGCTCCAACTGATACTGGAGCAATGTTTGCTGTCAACTCTATCCATTCTGAATAATCCATTCAGGTCATCACTAATCCTTCAGAATACACCCCTTCCTCTCCCCCAACATCCTCCACTCCATCTTCTTCATTGTCTACCTCCACCCCCATCCTTATTGTCCTTATTGTCCTCCCAACAGTACTACCTCTTTCCATACTACACCATCTTCCTCCTGCCCTCATCCTTCTGCTGCTTTCAGAGGTCATTATGAGTCCTACACCAATATTGCCAAGATTAGCTTCTGTAGACATGACCTCCCCCATGAAGTTATATTGGTTGAGTGACCTCCCCTGTCCTACTACACCCACCCAAACAGTCACTCAACAGCCCACTGCCCTTTATGGAACCATTGAAATTGATCTACTCAGTCACACATGTGTGCCTATTGTGCTGGCTCCCATAATGTATTTTATCGGAGCTGCCCTGCCTACAAGCTCGAATCTGAGGTAGTATTTCTCAGATTCAAACTAGGCCTCATTCTACGTGAGGTTTATCTTTCTACCTATTCGAAAACGGTTTTTCGCTCCCCTCCCCTCTCATCTTCTCAAGAAGTCTGCATCTCCCCCAGTATCTCTTCCCTCTACTCTGAACCATCCTATCTGTCGCACCAGACAATCTAAACGCTCCACTCCATCTTCTACCACATCCTCTCCTACACCCACCTCCTCCTCTGCTCCTCAGACACCTATTCCCTCTTTTCCTCCACTTAAGAAACCCTTTGTTTCTCAGACCTCCCCACTGAACTCTTGAAGACAGCCAAAAGTTCCTAAACATGACTCAAGAGAATAATTCACTCCCTCATCCACCATCTAATCCGTCTGATCCTATTCGCTCTACATTCAAAGTATTTGCCGATATATATCCTCCTACTCCTCAAGTTCCCCCTACCCCTCTTCATCCCACCCACCCAAAAAACACCCCATCCTCTCCTCCACCATATGCATCATCATTCCCATTATTATCCTTACCACCCCTACTTACATGCTCACGTGACTCCCTTATTCCACAATTTCCGGATCCCTTCCCACCTGACATTCTTCCCGATACTTCACCACCTTCCCCTGTCCTTTATTTTATTCTTATCTCTCCTAACCATTAACCATTTAAATAATCAAGGAGTCTCTTTCCCAGAGTAGCTAATAAGTTTGGTTATGCCTCAAAAATAATGTAAACTTCACAACATGCAGTATGAGTTCAGGCACAAGAGTAACTTCCATTTGTACTAATGGTTAATGGTTACAAAGCAAAATAAATGTGGTAGACATTAAAGATGATATAGCACTATAGAAAGGTGTAGTAATAAAAAGGCAAAGGAGCTGATTAAATGTTCTACACGTCAAAAGTCGTATAGCAGTTCAAGGTAGTATGACATTAAAAGGGGCATCAGAGAATGAGTAAAAGCTAGGAATTAAAGGGGGAATAGATCAAAGTTGTCAAAGAAAGTAGTGTGGGATTCTTCATGGATATGTTGAAAATTTCTCAACACAAATCACAAGTTATGATTTAAAGCAAAGGGCCATCTATTTGTATATTAACTCAGTGACTGTCAAGTGTGATATCCTTTATTTTCCCTCAATATTTTCTCATTGCCTTGGTTCTAGTGTATGTCTGATTGTCTCCTCCTGTCCTCAACCTAAGTGTTATTAACTTTAGGTTCCAGAAATATTAATAATTTTACTTATTACTTATGATTAGCAGGGCAATGACATGTCTCTTACGGAAACTGAGTGGGACAGTGAAGCGTCTCTTTCATCTACTAATTTCCAGGTCACCCTTGGGTAAGGTGTAGTAGTAACTGTTTGAATGCTGTAAAATTTATAAGGTAGCAGGTGAAGTCCCACAGGGTGACTTCCCCTACTACTACAGATATGTGGCAAAATTCCTCCCCTTTCTTCCTGTTTGCACAATTGACAGTGCCGGCAAGGGGAAATAAGGTATAAATAAGAAAAACAAACCTTGCTCTTCATCTGCTAGAGTTACGCCTTTACAGACTACAGACCTTAGGAGCACTAGGTGAGAGCCTTTGAGAGGAGCTGCCTTAAGGTGCTGCTCTGACGTAAGACTTCTCTACAGTGTATGGGTTGCCGCCCAATATAACTAAGGAGGAACCAGATAAGGACAAAAGGTGTTCGATGTTAAAGGTCGTAGAGCGATATAGGATAGTATGGTAGTGAAAGGGGCAGTGGGGGAGCAAATGGCGTAAGGCGGGGGGATTAGTGAAAGGGATGGATGAAGTACGATGAGATTAAATGAAGTGTATCTATGTGTATCTATCTAAGGTTTACTTACGAAGAGAAGAGGAAGAGGTGTGTGTAGGAGCGAGTGTGGTTGAAGATGGAGTGACACGTTTAGAATGCCTTGAACGGCTATGGCAAGGTTGGGCACATAGAGGGCAGCGGGCTATTGAGCGACAATGCTTAGCAGGGTGGCTAAAACGCCAATATTTCTGGCATTTACCGTAAAGGGGTCGATATGGTCGGATAGGGCAGGACTATCCACCAATATAAACCTCATGGGGGATGTCGTCTAATTTTAGCAACATTGGTTTAGAACATACGACGGCTTCCAGGAGGAATGGTGTAGCACTATACTGCTACTGCACCATAGTCGAGACAAGCAAGCAGGTCGTTTTCACAGTCTGACTAATCCTTGTAGACAGGGCAGTCAGCTGGGGAGATGGAAACAGTATTAAGGGAGGAGTGAGGCTGGGAAAGAATAGGTTTGCCATTGAGGTCAGTCAGGGTAGATAATGCACGAGCTTGGGACTCATGTAACTATTGCAAGGTGTGAATGATTAGAACGGTTGTGGAAGGAAATTTTGCTTACTTGTTTTTGGAGAAATTGTTAGAAGAGGAGGGTATTGTCAGAGTAAGGGGCTGTAGTGAGAATTATAAAGAATCGATTCCACTTGGCTGGACTAAAAATAGTACTGAAAAGGTTTGTAGAGGTGGAAGCAATAGAAGGACAGGGGCGGGAGGAAGGGATGGTGTAGGGTGGGGTAGTATCGCAGGAGATGGAGTGGATGATTTTGGAAGAGAGGAAGAAATGAATCTGATGGTGGAATAATTACCTGGGTGGATGATTCGGAATGGATAAAGTTAGAACGGACAGATGGGGTAGTAGTAATAGTGATCAAAGGAGAGGTAGGGGTCAGGAAACCAGAAAAACCAAATTCAAATAGTTTAGTTGATGAAGGGCCTAGCCTCAATGGCCTAAGGCGTACAATATCTTCATTATTGGCCATGGTGAGCCTGAAATAAATGGGAAAAAGAAACGGTTTACCCTTCCGGGTCCTCATGATTGGTAAGGGCAAGACGAGTAACCAAAGGAAAGCCGTGACCATAGCTCCCCGAAGCCGTCCAGGACTGACACAAAACCAGCCTTTCATCCTTTCAGCACGGCTCTTACACCTTAGGAAAGGAGAAGCGTTTGAAGATGAGAAGAAAAATGAAAGGGGAAGAAATGATCATACATAATTGGTTGAGCCGAGGGTTGAGGACACAGGTAGGGGTGACCTCCAACGTTGGGCATCAGTCCCCGTCTCCTATGCCCCCCTGATATTCCATTTGTTACGCAGGCTATTCTTGGTATGGCAGGCTGCCTGTTTCATTTTGCTTCTAAATTACTCCGTGTGTTTAAGGAATGGCCGGTGTTACCATCTACTGACGGGGTGGGAATTGGGCGTCAGCAAGATTACTAGACGAGACAGTTACCACTACACCACACACACACACACACACACACACACACACACACACACACACACACACACACACACACACACACACACACACACATACACACACACACACACACGCACAGAGAGAGAGAGAGAGAAATATATATATATATACATATATATACATATATATATATATATTATATAATATATATATATATATTATATAATATGTATATCATATATTATATAATATATATATATATATATATCCCTTTAACGACGGGTGACGCCGATAGGCGTGAAACAAACCGCTCGAAAGCTGGCGTGCGGCTGTAGGCCGCGGCGGCGCGCCAAAGCGCGGCGAGCCAGTGATTCGGGCTGATGTACCGAACTCACGCGCTCAAAGCCGGCGCGCCGCCATTGTTTTTTT